TTCGGAAGGCAATGGCAAACCATTGAGAGTATATTTGCCAAGAGAACCTCTTCTTAAAAAAAAAAAGGCCGTTCGGAACCGGCATTAAAAATGTAGGTCCCGTATATCTGCGTAAAAGTGTAAATAGCGCACATCGCAGAAATACGAGAAGAGGTCACTATGCTCTGTCAAGAGTAGTAGGACTATTGATTGATTGATTAGTTTTTAATGCATATGTAAAGTTACAGTATTTCTAATTTAAAAGGAATTATGAAAAATGTGTAAATATATTATTCAAAATCTAATTAAATTATTTATAACTTATGATACTTATGTATTATAACGCAACAACTTTTGGCCTAAATTATAATACGTGGTGAATAATAGGAAAAACTGCAAATCCATCCATAAATGGCAACCGGAGACATTTATATGATATGTCATCAACAAAAAACGTAGTCGAATTGTTCATGTTTATACTTCTTACGTAATAAATACCTAGTTTAGACGAATGTATTGGATGCTTGTACAAATCCTCTGAGAATTTAAATGAAGCTTCAATACATTTATATTTACTATCGATATAAACAATCTGATTGATAACATAAATTTGATTGCCAATGGCTACAGTATTGTCGGGAATTTTGCAAGATAATTTTGTATTCCCAATTATTAATTTTTCGCATGTAAAATGGGAATCTTCATTTGGATTTAGATAATGAACTTGTTTAGGTACAAAATTTGAAGTAGCTAATTTAATTTCAGTATCTATGTCTTCTTCTTCCGTAATACGATTGCATACTTGTTCTAAAGGTAATCGTTTTGACCGAATTTGTCTTTTTAGTGATTGGAGGTAGTTTTCAAAGGTAAAACAGCTGTATCTGTCTAAGGGGCCGTATGTTTGTACGTCTGTGCAAAGATGCAATAATGAATGAATATTATATACAACAAAATCTTCACCATAAATTTCGGGAACTTTGCGAACAAATTGCCTAATAGATTCTTCAGCAACATGCAAGTAAGATTTGATCAAGGGCGCACTGGATAAGATAGTGATTGCTACATGAAATAGTATAAAATGATCATATTTAACACTGTCAAGAATGTTATATTTGATAATTGGACTACTATATAAAGTAAAAAAACGAAATTTTGTTGCTTTAAATCTATGTAGGTGCATAAAACTTCGAGGTTTTCGACAAAAGTCTGCAGTGACAAATGGACGTATTACCTGTACATTGTAATTTATGGCTGAAATATTTTGTTGTGAGAGTTTACAGTGACGGCCTCCTTCGAGCCAATACATTATAAGTAGACGTTTCGTACTTCCTAAGTATACTAAATGCATAGGATCTAGTACAAACTGTGCTATCATATCTATGTTCAATGCAAGTAAGGGCGATTTACCTTTGATATGGCGGCTATTTATTTTATTACATACAAAATCATTATTAGTTCGCAAAACTACCGATTTTTTTATTTTAGTCGGAAGATATCTTGCTTTTTCCACTTTTTTAATGGTGCATCTTTCGCACGGATATGTACTTGTATGTCCTTTAATTATTTTTAGCATAGTCTCTTGCCTCTTGCTGGTGCATCGGCAGTAAAACATTCAATTTCGGCATACAATATTTTGCCATTATACTGAAAACCGTGTTTTTGCAAAAAACTAACTTCTTCTATGAAAAGGTTAAGATAATTATCAAGATTCGATGGCTTTCCTTCACCATAGAAACAAGCGATTATGAATGGGCGGTCATCGACAAGATCATCACTACGACCTAAAATTGGCCATAAATTTGTACTGCTACTCTTAAATATAGGTAACCCATCAATGTTTATAATTAATTTAATAGTTGAAATGTCCTGTTTCAATCCACCATTTCGTAATTTACGAATTAAATAATGTTCTACGCCGAAATAACACATCTTCCCATTGCCACAAGGAATTGTTTCTACTTTTCTAGGTGTATGCATCAGGCTTTTGGCGGTAGAAGGCAAAAATGTATAGGCCGGTTTAATTAAATTCAAAATTTGATCCAATGCAGCATGTGTAACATTATGACATTAGGACATTAGCTAATTGACGCAAATTATTGGTAAAAGTTTTCGGATTTACTGAAAATGTATCAATACATCTTTGTTATTATTACTCTCATCAATGTATTCAGAAGAATAGTCATTTTTGGCAGAAAAAAAAGAATAATCCTTAATGCTATTAAAATTACTATTGTCATCCGAAATAGATCAATACATCTTTGTTATTATTACTCTCATCAATGTATTCAGAAGAATAGTCATTTTTGGCAGAAAAAAAAGAATAATCCTTAATGCTATTAAAATTACTATTGTCATCCGAAATAGAGGGAATACTCTCATAATTTAGCACATTTACATTATCTACTACCATATCATCTACCGTATCATTATTTCCAACATTGAAGCATACGTCAGGTAAAAGATTGCCAACACTGTGCAAAATATTAGAATTATTATTTTCAGTATTTGCATTTGTTAATATCTTTTTCACTGATTGGGTTACCTTTCGACGCCTCTGGCGTTTACTTAAAAGCCTTATATTGTCACACATTTTTCAAAATACCTTTTAAAAATAAGGAAATTATTATCTAGCAATGTAATGCAATTAATATTAATAATAATTAATAATTAAATTTTCATGCCTATAAAATCATAAACAAGTTAAAACGATTATCTGTAAAATATTTATTAACAATAATTATTATATAATTATTTTGTTTAATATAAGCAATTTGTTATAAATCATTAACAATATCACAAAATAGATTTTATAGAGCATTATTCAAAAGTGTGAGATTTTATAAAAAATTAATTGAAACATCGGTTGCACCAACAACTTAGCACCAAATTATTGTTTTAAATTTCATGACTTAATTGGATTTAATTGGTTAAATGCATAACTCTGGGAGTAAAGGTGCAAAGGGATCGCAATAAATTTTCAAGGTAAATTATATATTTATATATATATTGTCACGATGCGCCCCGCCTCGTCACTAAATTCGGGGCCGACCAACCGCCCCTGGCGCTTAGCGCCACAAATCCCACTACAATCACGCGCTTCAAGCGTGATACCCCTCTCTGCGCCTTCCCCCGCCGAAGCCTATCGGCGGGGGTATATAAACCGCGGCCGCAGAATAAGCGGCATCCCAGTCCTGTCCCGAGCCCGCTCTAGTACAGACCACGCACTAGCCTTCCTGAGGAGAGTTGGGGCGCCCGACTTCCTCGACAGTCCGACCAGGGCGCCTGGTGGACCTTCATTTGAGAACTTCCTGGAGAGAGCCAGGGCGCCTGGCTGCTCCGCTGCCCGCCAGACCGGGTCGCCCGGTTGGCCGACCCCTGTACCCTAGGAGAGAGTTGGGGCGCCCGACTTCTCCGCTCTCGCCGGACCGGGGCGCCCGGAAGGCAAGACCCACCGTGCCTGCGACCCGGCTGCGCCCGGGACTCCGCGAGCGACGCGGCTGTACCGATCGGACCGTCCCGAGCGCCGGGACCGACCGAACCGACTCGTCCGCTAAGGACGCACCACTGTACCGACCGAAACGACTCGTCCGATAAGGACGCACCACCGCACCGACCGAACCACGCCGTACCTCGCTCGGCACCATATGTAAATATTGTACATAGTCAACATCCCACCAATAAACTGTAGTTGTCAACGAAGTGGTGTCTCACGCTTTTCTTGCACCCTGGCCCGGCGAGCATAATTCCGAGCAGGAAACGCGTACTGTCACAACATGTATATGGGCCATTCCACGTGAAGCGGATCAGTCATCTCTCAGAAATTTTTCTAATTTTGCACAAAGGTAGTACTTTGGGAGATAGAATTTTGTGTCAAAGGATTTTTTTCTTATTGCAAAATTAATCGAGATATAAACAATTAAAAATTAGACTGCA